CAACGACCATAGATATATACACTAGATATCGCATAGGGACCCTGAGCATGCGCCAATAGCGCCGCCACATTGGTACAGTGCTCCCAGGACAAATGTCATTCAACCGCACTAAGACAGAGTTATTAAGTGAAGATGCGGGACTTTAGTGCTGTCTACGGGTGTAGTAACGAGCAAACAAAGAAAACAAAGCACAACGACGGAACATTTCATAGGTAAGATTAAGTTTATTTTTCTGTTTTTGTATGTTCTGAACTTCTGTGCTAATCAGGTAACGTTATTGATGATAACAGTCACTTACTGCATTCACCATACGGCAAAGCAGCTCCAACTCGCACTAAACACTCGGTTTATGCTAGTTTTGTTAAATAAAATCAGCAAACAATGCAAAAGAAATATGACAACGAGATCCTGCGCTGCCAGAAACTTGTATTATTGTCGGCTAATGTTAGTGAAAGAGTCGTTCGGGGGATTCATTCACAAACGAATCGCTTCCTCCGTCAGTATGAGCAGTGAAAGCAGGAAAGGAGCTGTGTTTCAGTACATGATTAGATCAAATTTAACAGGGAGGGTGAATAGTACATTTCTGTACACACAAACACAAGCTTTTTATCAGGAATGGCCGTGCGGTCACTGATCCATCAATGTAGAAAAGTGATGTAAAATTATAATTTTCGTAATTAGAAAAAAAATACATATTAAAAATCCAGGAAAACTCCCGATCATAGATATATGTCTATATGTGTATATCTCTGGCTTTGGATAGCCACAGACCTCCACTGTACCTTGGTCCCGCATTCATTTCAAAGGAGCGCTACCCTGTAGCAAGATGGCGGCGCTATTGACTCATTCCGTCCAATAGACAACGGGAGAGCCCACTTGTCCTGCGGGGACGTCTGCAGCTGCTGGATACGTGTCGTGTGTCTGGCTGCTCTGTCTCTGGAGGATATTGAAGATATTTAACTATTCGGAACTTTGATAACAGGGTTTCTGCTGATGGGCTTATGCGGGGCCCTGGGGTATTGACGACTGATGAAAGCGGTCAGTTCTGCACAAAACCTCACCAGGCTGGCCGGCTTGATTGAAACGCATATGGGTAGAGTCACAAACGCTCAGACTATGGTGCTAGACCGCAAACTGGAATACATCAGAGTGAAATTAGCGGCTATGCAACAAGACTTGGCCAGATCTAGGGACGAGTGATGGACATTAAATATCTGTGAAATTGGCAGATATTGACCCAAAGTTGGAAGTTCGGCTCCCTGTGTCTTCTTTTCTCCTGCCAGACGGCCTTAGCTGGAGAAAAACCAACTTCTTCCGGATAGCAAGATAAGGAGACGCTCTGAAATTCCTGCTCTCTGTCAAGGACACCTGTTGGACTCTACAGGCTCATGCACACACACATTCACAACCACAGATAAACAATCACCACCGATCCCCTCATCCAAACGTATTCGTGTGCTTTCACCCACTGGAGGGGGTGGTGGTCTGCGACCAGCGCCTCCATGGCTGCAGGACCAGGCGGCTGCTAGCCCTCATCGAACGACATCCATATCCCCTGTTCCCATCCCATTTGTCAGTGTTGTGTCTTGTCCATGTGCTTTCTTGTGCTGAATCGGGCTGTTTTTCTCCATCTCACTTTGCTCTAATCTAGAGCAAGGTTGGAGTGTTTTTTTTTTTTTGCCCAACTTTCCTGATGTATCTTACTTGCCTTTCTAAATGCTACCTTCCCCTGAAAATACTGATGTTTGTGTACGGTCGGGAGGGTTTAATTTCACTATACGAAAGTGCATGTGACAAATAAAGGCCTGATTTGATTTGAACAATATTTACAAATCATTTATGACCCCAAAACAGACATTTATTCATTACTTTATTCTTATTTTAAAAAAACACTGCCAGGTATAGGGCTACACAATATATCGTTTTTGCAATAGTCACATCACTGGATATGCAATGTTGAGTTGGGATTTTAAATATACAGTTGAATTAGTTTTTCTTTTTTAAATATTTCCCAAATGATGTTTAACAGAGCAAGGAAATTTTCACAGTATGTCTGATAATATTTTTTCTTCTGGAGAAAGTCTTATTTGTTTTATTTCAGCTAGAATAAAAGCAGTTTTTAATTTTTAAAAACCTTTATGGTCAAAATTATCCCCTTTAAGCTAGTTTTTTTTAATAGTCTACAGAACAAACCATCGTTATACAAAAACTTGCCTAGTTAACCTACTTAGGCCTTTAAATGTCACTTTACATTTACATTTAGTCATTTAGCAGACGCTTTTATTCAAAGCGACTTACAAGTGAGGACAAGGAAGCAATTTACACAACTAAGAGCAACAATAAATATGTGCTATAGGCAAGTTTCAGGTCTGTAAAGTCTAAGAAGGGAAGTATTAGTAGTATTAGTATTTTATTTTATTTATTTTTTTTGGGTACAGTTAGTGGGATATTCAGAGAGGCAATTGCAGATTAGGAAGTGAAGTGGAGACTAAATAGTTGAGTTTTTAGTCGTTTCTTGAAAATAGCGAGTGACTCTGCCGTTCTGATGCAGTTAGAGAGTTCATTCCACCAACTGGGCAGATTGAGCGTGAGCGCTCTTTGGGATGGAACCACGAGGCGACGTTCATTCACAGAACGCAAGTTTCTGGAGGGCACATAGATCTGCAGAAGTGAGAGCAGATAAGAAGGAGCAAAGCCAGAAGTCACTTTGTAGGCAAACATCAGAGCTTTGAATTTGATGCGAGCAGCAACTGGCAGCCAGTGCAAACGGACTAGCAGCGGAGTGACATGTGCTCGTTTAGGTTCATTGAAGACCACTCGTGCTGCTGCATTCTGGAGCAGCTGAAGAGGCTTGATAGAGTTAGCTGGAAGCCCAGCTAGTAGAGAGCTGTATAGAGCTGATACTTTAAGCTGTATAGAAGTGTCTTGACAAATATCCCAACTCTAAAAAACGTTGTTATTTATTTAACCCAATGGTTGAGTTAAACATTTGGTGCTGGGTTGGGTTATTAACATTTATTAGATTATTTATTAATAAATCAACCAGTTGGGTTAAAGTTTTGAATTTCAACAGTCAACTGATTTAACTGACACAGAACAGCTGAATAAATGAACAGATATTAGTTTGCTTACTTTAAATTGGATTGTGCTGATCTTCAAGCGTGACCAAATTAAAGTCAAAGCTTTAGGTAACAAAACAATACAAGTAATTTGTGAAAATACACTAGTAAAGGCACTTCAAACTATATAAGACGCTGACAGTTAATATGATGCACCTCACCTGTGGGGGGAAACGAGGACATTTCCTTTTAAATCTCTCTTTAAAGTATTCACGATTCACATGCATTTGGATGTCACGTTTTTGAAAGGCCTTAAATCATCTTTTCCAGGCGTCACTTGATTGGATTCCTGTAGTTGTTTGTTGTCTTCGTTTCAATAATATCTCATTCGGCTGCTAACTGCATTTGTGCGGTGTAAATACAGCTGGTAAAGAGCGACACCTTCTGGTTGCGTCTGGAACTCTAAACACTTCTTTAGCAGTTCTGGCGTTTACAGACTAAACACTAAACTAACCAACCACGGACCCGCGAGTAGCTATCATTTTTCGCGAGCAGGAAATATAAGCATGTGTGTATTTATACATATTTAATAAATAAACACTTAAATTCTGTTCTAAAGAATGTAAGAATATAAATCCTAACAAAATCCCTTAAAAATGTTTTTTCTCTCATTACTTTGCCTGAAAAGTCATTTAAATACAGTTTTTGAACTCTGTTTATTAGGGTTTTTTTTTTTTTTCATTTATAGGGATTTTAGGTTAAATTGAGTCTTACTTGTTGAATAATTAAAAAACTTTTTCAGATAAAGTATAAGAAAATTAACTTAATTACTCAGCAAGTAAGACTCAATACTACTTACAGTTCCAATAAATCCCAATAAATTTATTTATACTTCAAAAAATAGTATTTTTTTCTCATTACTTAGTCTTAACTCTCTAGACTCCTTATTTCTAAAAACAAGAATATTTATTTCACTTTTCTAGAAAATGCTTCTTGATTTAAGAATTTTTAGATATCTAGAAACAGCAGGTTTGGGGTTGTATTTGTAAATACAATCTGTGTAAATAAAATGTGTGTATTTAAAAATTATTTTTATTTTATCAATTATTTTTTGCCCAGCACCAATTAATTTATAATTATTATGTTTAATAGGTCATTTTATATCTATATTATTATTATTATTATTATTATTATTATTATAAAAATCATTATGCTAACTATTATTATTATTAGCATAAAAATGCTGGGATATCATCATATCATCATTTTGTAATCCAAACCCAATGTTGGACAATCTAGTTAAATTTAAATTATTTTTTTTAATGCAAATTAAAATGCATTCATTCATTTTCTTTTCGGCTTAGTCTCTTTAGGGGGGTGAGGGCAATACAATATACGGTTTGAACTATAAACTGAATGGAAACCTATAATGTACCCACTTTTCACAAACACACACACACACACACACACACACACACACGCACACACGCACACACACACCTAGATTATTATAAATGAATCATTGTTAATATACTGCTTATTATTGTTTTTTATTACTGTTATTTTATCTTAAAATGTTGATTGTTAAATGTACAGTTTATTCTGATCTATTATTATTTGTATTGATTTGTATAAATAATATGATATATTAAATATTAATGTGATATTGAAAATTATTATGATATATTGAATAATATGATGTATTGTTGATATTTTATTTAATTATTATTTATAAATATAAAAAAATCTATTGTATTTTCTATTGTGAGTACTGTTTTAATATTGTATGTTACTTTTTTATGTAAACTTTATAACTGCTTTGGCAATACATTTGTAACTTTTGTCGTCAATAAAGCAATTATTGAATTGGAGAGAGAGAGAGAGAGAGAGAGAGAGAGAGAGAGAGAGAGAGAGAGAGAGAGAGAGAGAGAGAGAGAGAGAGAGAGAGAGAGAGAGAGATCGCTCAGTAAATGAAAGCAGTGTGTCAGTACTCTCACATTCATCTGCATGGCTGCCACAGAAGTAAACACATATCCAGTAAGTTATATATATATATATATATATACATCCTCTTCTATTTACTGCTCATTATTAATATTCTCAACACGCGTATTAATTAGTAGTTAAAGCTTTAAACATTTACATAATTTACTTATAGCATGTGTATGCAATTAGTTGCAGTGGAGAAAATAGGATTCAATACGCTTTTTAAGCAACACAACCCTAAATAAAATACGACATTAAATCATAGTACAATCCGAGCCATAGCTAGCCTAACTTACTATAACTGTAAGTGACGTTAACTGTAACGTTAACTCTTTATTCATGAACACTCGGGCATATTGTAATACTACAGTGGACTAATAAAGTAATAAATACCGTAGTATATGTAGTTTTTACTACAGTAAACTGTGCTGTGTTGCAGTATAATATACTATATATAGTTATATAAAACTACAAGATTGAGTAATTTGGTTATTTTACTATAGCTAGTTGTTGTGTTGTCATAGCAACTATAAAACCGCCACAAACACGTTAGCATCGTATGATCCAAAAAACACTATATATAGCTGCTTTTCCACTATCGTGCCAAACCGTTCTAAGAACACTTCGGTACGGTTACGGTTGTTTCTCCACTGAGCCTGGAACGGCGCGGCACGATTACAAACCGTTCTTGGCCCGGAATTCTCGGCACGGTTAGACAACCGTGCTGAACTGTGCTGACAGATTCTGTGTGTTGACGTCGCGACTCGGTTGCTAAGCTACCACAGCTGGTTCAGCAGAAGCGCGCTAGTCATCAGACATCCTAAATAAACTACAGTACATTTAATATAAAATAATGATCCAGGTCTAAACGATACAGTTTGAAAAAGGTTTTAAAACCATAGAGCAGTCTCTGGCAGAGAAGTGAATAACTCATCACATTCTTACGAAGATATTTTATTCATTAAAGTTATTATTTTATTGACTTGAATACAGACCTACTTCGCCTGCCTGAATGTGAGTTTATTGCACGCAGCGCTGTATTTCACAGCACAAAACTCGCTCTGATCCGGGAGAGAGATGCCAGCGATTTGCGCTGCTGACTTTTTTTTCCTGCTGCGCATCGAATAAAGCGAATAAAGTCACTCTCAGCATCGTCGATGTCCAAATTCCACAACAACATAACTAAATCCATGGAACACGAACTTACAGACTCTTTTAACAACGAGGAAATAATTGCACTTTTTAATTCAAAGCCAGGACAGCTTGTTAATTCCGGCGAGACCACCTGAAGGACGGCGTGTTGTAATGTCGGCTGTCCAAAAGACTTTGCTTGAAAGCTTTACGGAGCGGCACTGTAACTGTCCAAGGTAACGTTACTGTTGAATGATTTATATTATAGCATATGCACTAAAAAAACAAGTCAAAACAATGAATGAATTAAATAAATATGGATTCTTAAATGTCAGTATTGCTTTTACTCAAAAAATATCAATACGTTTTGACAAATGTTTTATAAAAATAAAATGAGCAATTTTCATCATTTCAGCTATAGGCAATTATATGATTCAGTTATACATATGACATTTATGAGGCATGTAACATGTTTCTGTGTTTTTGTTCTTGGTGATCTTTAATATAGCTACGCAAATATTTTCTAAAACGTCAAGCAATAATTCGCCTTCAGCTTGTTAGTTAATTATGAACACAAAATAATTATAATAATAAAAATAAAATTATCAAAATAAAAAGATAATAGAGCAGCATTTTGCTAAATATAATAGTGCTTTATATGCTTTATATCCTGCTATATGTGTTGTTTCATATTCGTTTTTTATTTCACTTGCTGCATTCGTTATTTTATGTTTGAATAGTAAAACAAATAACAGCCATCGCTTAATTGGTTTCATTTTAACATCATAATGTAGTATATTTTATATCATTATCAACTTTTGATATAAAAACGCAGTGTAATTTAATTAATTGTTAAAAATGAAATAATTTATGTGCTGTGTTTTTATTAGTGAAAGTGCCCGCTCACCTTTGACAAGGCCTGTCCAAAATTATTTTTCTGCCACTATATGCAAATGCACTATTATTTTTGTCTTATCATTCTTTATTTTTCTGTTATGTTCAGAGATTTTAAATATTTATTTCCCCTCTAATTATTTTCAATCATCACGTTACATTTTGGTAATTTTCCCTCCAAATAAAATTTAGCCAAAGCTGCGCAACATATAAATAAATAAGGGTGCACATGTACCTATATTTAGCACCCCTATTTGATAGAGCGGCATAACAGTGTTTAGTCACATGGTTGCTTTTGCTTTTATGAAAAAAAAAATACTTGTTTCGGCTCTTATTTAACTTTAATTGAACAAAGGGAGCCGTTTACTTTGCGTTACCAAGGCAACTACTGATGCGTTTTGTGTAATGTTTTAAAGAGCTTTGTCGCAGCACGACAGTGGAAAATGAAACCGTATCCGTGCTGTCTGGCCCGGTTTGGCACGGAATGGAACAGTTCTGTTTAAAGAACGATTCAGCACGATAGTGGAAAAGCGGCTTATAATATTTACTATAAAGTACTATAGTATCGTTTTTTACACGTGGGTTGTTTCAAAACCTTATGCTTTACTTTTATAAATTACTATTAGTGTGTGTAAATCCACTGTCGAAGTCATTTCAAGCTGATTAGCTCTAGTAAGCAGATCAGCTTTGGCTCTTCAGTCGTCTGTTGTGTCGTGTTAGTTTAGGAGTACGTTATACTAATATTACGCTTTTGAGGTGTCTATATTTATAAATGCAGCACTGAGAGGATGTTTGTCGGGGTGATGGCAGTGGAAAGCTTGAGTCTATGTATAAAGAGCTCTTTGTATCCGGCGTGTGTGTTGAAAATAAAGGCTGTGAAACACTTCCTTGTGTTTGTAGAGAGCCGAGAGCTGTGAATACCTCAGCATGCTGCTTTTCTCTGTCATACACGCTCAGAGCTGCATACTAATATGCTCAATTACACTAATAAAAATGCTTACTTAAGAGTTTTTGCCTTGTTTCTAGTCCAAATATCTAAAACCCTTAATTTAACAAGCATTTAATTGAAAATATTTCAATATTTCAATATTTTAAAATTGAGTTTTTCCTTAAAACAAGCTAAAATAATTGGTAGCATTTACTAATGGACCATTATTAAAGTCATTATTAATTCTGCGTGATATTTCATAGAAGCATATTATTTTAGCATGATCTTTTAATTATTGGAAAGTTAAAAAAGACAGAATTTAATTGAGTTTTTCTTTAAAATAAGCTAAATAATTGGTAACACTTTAAAATAATGTTCAGTTAATGTATTTACTAACATGAACATACAATTAGTAGCCTAATACATTTATTATGTTATTTGTTCAAATTTGTCTGTTATTTAAGTTAAATAATGTTCATGTTAACTTACTGTGCATCAACTAATGTTAACAAGCACAACTTTGCTTTTTAATAATGCATTAGTTACTGTTGACCTCTGATTGATTAATGCTTATATGATTATTTATACCTAATGTTAGTAAAGACATGGACCATTTTTTCTAAAGTGTTACCAAATAATTTGCCATTGGGGTAGGCAAAATAATATTGTTTTTACTTTAAAAATAAGATTATCTTGTTTACCCCATTTGGCAGAGGAAAAAAACCAGGAAATACTGTGGAAAAATGTGAAAATCATTATTGTATGTTCATTTACAGCTTCATTTCGTGTCATTATTAATGTTGCTTGATATTTTGTGGAAGTAAATTATTCTTGCATGACTCTTTAATGAATAAAAAGGACAGGATTTATACGAAATGATATTATTTTGTAATACTATAAATCTTTATTATTAATTATTTATGTTACATTTGATCAGTTAATTTCACTCCAAAAATGACTGCTGCTTTGTGTTGTAACTACTTATTTAAAATGAGTTAAAATAACAACTCCTATGTTTTTTAAGGGACAACTTTATTGTTTTATGTTCAATCCACTTAAATTTGTAAAACAATTTAATTAACGTAATCTATTCGTTTTGGGACAACACACTCAACAATGGCTTTTGCTGCTTGTTCAAACTACCTATTTAAAATGAGTAGAAAACAACACAATTATTTAGTTTTTTTTGGGAAAACTTATGTTTTATGTTCAATCCACTAAAATTTGTAAAAACGTTGGTTAATTTAATATACTCAATTACACTCATAAAAATGCTTACTTAAGAGTTTTATTTTGCCTTGTTTCTAGTCCAAATATCTGATAACCCTTAATTTAACAAGCATTTAAGTAAAAATATTTCAATATTTCAAAATGGAGTTTTTTCCTAAAACAAGCTAAAATAATTGGTAGCATTAACTAATGGACCATTATTTAAGTCATTATTAATTCTGCGTGATATTTCCTAAAAGCATACTATTTTGACATAATTTTTAATGATTGGAAAGTTAAAAAAGACAGAATATTTATTTTTTGGGGGGAAAACTTAAAAGTTTTATGTTTAATCCACTAAAATTTGTAAAAACGTTGGTTAATTTAATTGATTTCTGTTGGGTCAGCATGAATGAATTGTGTGGAACCCAACATTTTTTTAGTGTTGCTTAAAAAATAATAAATTGACCGACATACTTTAAATCAACCCAGGCTCATTCTGAAAACGTACCCCTATATACATATCTGGAGAGCACCAAATACATCCCACAAGCTTTGTTTTTTGTAGTTTTTGCAAATCCGCTGTGCACGCATTTTGAGGTCTCAAATTTTTCTTGCGAGTGCCATTCGTGCCTACTCTTCTCGCGCAAGTCCACCAGAGGCTGCTGTATACACATTTTGAGATCTCAAATTTCTCTCGCGAGTACCATTCGCACCTGCTGTTCACGCGTACATCCACCAGAGGCCGCTGTGAACGCTTTTTTGAGATCTAAAATTTCTCTTGCGAGTGCCATTCGCGCCTGCCGTTCATGCCTAAATCCACCAGAGGCCGCTGTGCATAATTTTTAATATCTCAAATTTCTCTTGCGAGTGCCATTCACACCAGCTGTTCATGCCTAAATCCACCAGAGGCCGCGGTGTACGTTTTTTCAAGCTCAAATTTCTCTCGCAAGTGCCATTCACGCCTGCTCTTCTTCCGTAAATCCACCAGAGGCCGCTGTCGACTGACTGACTGACCCCCCCTACTCCTTTCCTAAACCCAACCAATAGTGTTTTCAAAAGCATCGATTGACCAGCTACCACCACTTTCCCTAAACCCAACCGATAGTCTTAAAAAGCAATCCAGAAAAAGAAAAGCCCTTGTCTGATTTTTACCACATTTTCAGATTTTACCACATTCTCACCCTGTTATTTACTTGTTTATTTTATTTTTTGGCTTCTGTTTTTGTCTTACCCGCTTTCTGGAACCGTTCTTCACTCGACTCGAACCCTGTCATTGTGGTCAACTCCCCTGTGCATCTAAAGTCCGCCAACGTGCATGGCGAGGTAACTGGACAAACTGGTAACAGCGGTGAAGCCGCCCATACGGAGGTAAGCGGTCAGCTGCTAGCAAGAAAAGGAACAGCATCATACCGCCACATAGCACTCGTTTTAAAGATGAAATGCAGCCATACGTACTTCTGGCAACATGCTCCGCGATGTCCATAAATGTAAATAGGGCTCCGTTTTCAGAATGAGCCTATGTTGCTTTAAATAATGTTCCATTAGTTAATCTTCCAACTAATATTAATTAATTGCTTGACTTTCATGCACTTGCAACCACTTGCCTTTAGTAAATCCAATGAACCATTTTTACAAAGAGTGGTGTAGAGGTTTTTCCAAGTGCTGTGTTTTTCAGACTGAGGAGATGCGGAGTCTGTCTCTGAGTGGTCATGTGGGTTTCGACAGTCTCCCGGATCAACTGGTCAGTAAATCAGTCAGTCAAGGATTCAGCTTCAACATTCTCTGCGTAGGTGAGAGCAACCTGCTTTAACATCACGCATATCTGACATGTACAGTAGAGGCACATATTATTACAACACTAGTGTTTTCACCAACTGAAGAATGGTTTAAAGTCATTTTTCCCGATCTTTTGCTGTAATGTGTCAAAAGGAAACATCAGTTTACATTTTCACACAACTTTTTTGCTAATAATTGTAATAATACAGTAAGATAAGGTCTATGCATATATACAGTTGAATTATTAGCCCCCCCTGTATATTTCCCCCTAATTTCTGTTTAAGGGAGAGATTTTTTCAACACATTTCTAAACATAATAGTTTTAATAACTCATTTCTAATAACTGATTTATTTTATCTTTGCCAGGATGACAGTAATTAATATTTGACTAGATATTTTTCAAGATACTAGTATTCAGCTTAAAGTGACATTTAAAGGCTTAACTAGGTTAACTAGGGTTATTAGGCAAGTCATTGTATAACAGTGGTTTGTTCTGTAGACAACTGAAAACAAATATTGCTTAAGAGGGCTAACAATATTGACCTTAAAATGGTTTTAAAAAATTAAAAACTGCTTTTATTAAAGCCGAAATAAAACAAATAAGACTTTTTCCAGAAGAAAAAATATTATAGGAAATACTGTGAAAAATTCCTGAATCTGTTAAACATCATTTGGGAAATATTTTATATAGAAAAAAATCACAGGAGGGCTCACAGTTTTAATTGTACTTTAAGCGGAATACTTGTATCTTGTGAAATAAATATATTCTAAATAGAATATTCTAAATTAAAATATAACAAAAAATATAACAAAATTGTTATTATAAATGAGTTACTAAAACTGTCATGTTCAAAAATGTGTTGGAAACAATTCTTCTCTCCATTAAATAATATTTGAGAAATAGTTAATATAAGATTTAAAATTTTAGAGATAATCATTTTGACTCATTCCCAAGTACATTTTGCATTTTCAAAAAATGTAAAGAAGCAGTTTTGAATTTTTAACACTAATTATCTCAAGGTAAATCCAAAAATAATGTTTGTACATGTATTTATGGACAGACACCTATTTTTGACTGTCTCCCATTATTACAATTAATAGAAATAAAAAGTGTTTGGAAAAGTAAACTGATATTTCATACTGACACACTACAGTAGTGGCACAGTAGGTAGTGCTGTCGCCTCACAGCAAGAAGATCGCTGGTTCGAGCCTCGGCTGGGTTGGCGCTTTTGTGTGGAGTTTGCATGTTCTCCCTGCGTTCGCGTGGGTTTCCTTCAGGTGCTCTGGTTTCCCCCACAGTCCAAAGACATGTGGTACAGGTGAATTGAGTAGGCTGAATTGTCTGTAGTGTATGGATGTTTCCCAGAGATGGGTTGCAGCTGGAAGGGCATCTGCTGCGTAAAAACATACGCTGGATAAGTTGGCGGTTCATTCCGCTGTGGCGACCCCAGAATAATAAAGGGACTAAACCGAAAAGAAAATGAATGAATGAACACTACAGTAAAACAGAAAAAATGGACATAAATTTTTTTATACAGCAACCACGACTGTACACTGTAAAAATATCTGTTAATTAACAGTTTTTGTATTTTGTGTTTTCCCTTTATTTACGGTTTTGAATTGCAATATGGGATTCAACTCTAAATTCAACTCTACAGTTTGTGACTTTTATTGAGATTTTTTTTTTATTTTGGCCTTATTTCCTATATTAGATAGGACAGTAATCAGAAAGGAAGTGAAGTGGGAGGTAGGGTTGGTTGGGAAATGTCCAGGATTTGAACTCGGGATGCCCTGAAGTGCTGCCGCACCATATGTCAGCATGCTAACCACTAGGCCAGTGTCCAAACTTGGTCCTGGAGGACCGGTGTCCTGCTGAGTTTAGCCAAAGAGCATAGAATCACCAAGAGGCGACACTCTAGTGCAATTTGGGAAACAGCCACTAGATGGCGCGGCGGCCATTTTGGAATGAAAACTCCAAGTCATAAGTTTGTAAAATAAACTATTAAATGTGCTGATAATTGTGATAGTAAGTGTTGTATTGTCGTCTTTCAGGTTGTGTCTTTTTAAATAAACAAATAAAAAAACAATTGTTGTTTTATAATGTTAAATTTAATCATAAGCTTAGCAAGCAATTTTGGAGAATTTGATGTTTCCTCATTTAAACAGAGTGCCCAAGCATACTGCCCGAGAGATGTTTCAAAAATGGCCACCGAGGGAAATGACTTGCCTTAAAGGGACTTTGGTTTAGCTCCAACTTCAACACACCTGCCAGGAAGTTTCTAGTATATCTAGTAAGAGCTTGATTAGCTGGTTCAGGTGTGTTTGATTAGGGTTGAAGCTAACTGTTTTAGTAGTTTGAAAAAATTAACATATAAAAAATAATATACAGAGAAATAAGTCTGTAGAATAACAGACAATGTGCTGCAGATTATTACAAGGTTTTTGTAGCATAAAATACAACACCAACCCAGACAATATAGCACTGCAAACTATTACAAATGTTCATAAAAGTCACTTTTTGGATCTTTTCAAGCTTAAAAGTTGTTGGTGGAAAAATAAAGCTCCCATAATGCAATTCAAAATCATAAATAAACAGGAAAACGTTAAAACATGAATCACAAAATACGAAAAACTGCTAATTTACTGATGTTTTTTTAAAGTGGATATTAGGTGATGCAACTGATTTTGGTCTTGTTTTGACAGGAGAAACCGGGATAGGCAAATCCACATTAATGAACACACTCTTCAACACAACATTTGAGAATGAAGAGGCCAGTCATTTCCACAACGGTGTGCATTTACGGCCCAGAACCTACAGCCTGCAGGAGAGCAATGTGGACCTGCAGCTCACCATTGTGGACACTGTGGGATTCGGAGACCAGGTTAATAAAGAAGAAAGGTAATTAATGAGGTTACAATAACAATAAATAATACAGTACACATATTCTACAAGGAAATAGGTATTTCTCAACATACCAAGTTTATAAAGAGGAGGTCATATGGTATTTTAATGTGTCCTAATATTGTGTCTACAACAGGTTTAAATGCATCTAAGGTCAGAAATCATTGTAATTTTCTAATAATAAGTATTTAATATTTTAATACAGCTTATTATGTATAAATTAATGTCTGTAAAATCATCCCTTCCATGAGCCGACTCTGCTCTGATTGGTCAGCTGGTCTGGTTTGATTGGTCTTTTGAATCTATAACATTCGTGTGTCACAGAAGGCAAGGCAGGGTAAAGCTAATACAGCTGCGGATACGCACATCAATATAGCATAATTTTTGTGACAGTGTACAACAATAATTACTGTTTTTACATTTTTGTGATGGTTGGGTTTAGGGTTGGGGGTAGATATTAATAAAGTAGAATTTAATTGGTTAATAAATAAATAATTAAAATAGTTCTCGTTTTAATTACTGTTTTTGCATTACTGTGAGGGGTAGGTTTAGGTTTAGGTTGGGGTAAACAATAATAAAACACAATAAATGAGTAATTTAATAAATAATATTTTTCGTTATCTTAACAAAGTAGCTCCTCCCCCTTTTTAATAAAAAACAGCCAATAGCATTTAGTTTTTATGACAGCTCTGCTAGTGAGAATGTCAAATGTGTAAAGGGCACATTGACAATAATAAACTTGTCTTGTCTTGTTTCTCTGCAGTTATAAGCCTATCGTGGACTACATTGATGCCCAGTTTGAGAACTTCCTTGAGGAAGAGCTTAAAATCAAACGTTCCCTTTATAACTATCATGATTCCCGCATACACATCTGCCTGTACTTCATCGCTCCCAGCGGGCACTCGCTGAAGTCGCTGGATTTAGTGACCATGAAGAAGCTTGACAGCAAGGTACTGTTTGTCATTTAGTTGTTATTTAGAGTCACCATGAAACTGAAGTTAAGATTGTCCTTTTTTCCGATACTGTGCCCACCCTAAAGCACTGATAGCCCTGCACTAAAGCATTGATAACTCTAATCCAAGGCAGTGATAGCTCCTCCGTAAAGGACTGATAGCCCTGCCTTAAAGGAATGATAGCTCCACCCTAAAGCACTTATAGCCCCGCCCTAAAGGACTAATAGCTCTATTCTAAGGGCCTTCTCACACTATGCTATCCGAACCGTGCCCAGTCCCATTTCCCGCATCGTTTGAGAAGTGTGAGTGCGCTGAATCGGGCTCAGGCACGGTTCACTTGGCCGGCCCTGGTCCGGTTGGAAGAGGTGGGCCTGAGCGCAGTTCACTTGAACTGATAGTCCCACCCTAAAGGACTGATAGCTCCGCCCTTAAGAAATGATAGCTCTACTCTAAAGCAGTGATAGCTCCTCTTTAAAGGACTGATAACCCACCCCTAAAGGACTGATAGTCCCACCATAAAGGACTGATAGCTCCGCCCTAAAGGACTGATCGCTTCACTCTAAAGCAGTGATAGCTCCTCCCTAAAGGACTGATTACCCAGCCCTAAAGGACTGATAGTCCCACCCTAAAGGACTGATAGCTCCACCCTAAAGGACTGATAGCTCCGCCCTAAAGGACTGATCGCTCCACTCTAAAGCAGTGATAGCTCCACCCTAAAAAACTGAGCGCTCCACTTTAAAGCACTGATAGCTCCTCCCTAAAGGACTGATAGCTCCACTCTAAAGCAGTGATAGCTCCACCCTAAAGAACTGAAAGCAGTGATAAGCTCCAGCCTAAAGAACTGATAGCTCCACTCTAAAGCAGTGACAGCTCCACCCTAAAGAACTGAAAGCAGTGATAGCTCCACCCTTAAGAACTGAACGCTCCATTCTAAAGCACTGATAGCTCCTCCCTAAAGGACAGTTAGCCCTAAAGCACTGATAGCTCCACTGTAAAGAACTGATAGTTCCGCCTGATAGCACGGATAGCCCCATCCTAAAACACTGATAGCTCCGCCCTAAATTAATTCCATGTTCCCAGTAGTGAAGAAGTGAAGTCTTTCGAGCAGGAAGGAAGTTTATGATATTTGATTCAAGTTTATGAGGGCAAATACATTTTTACAAAATAATGAAGTGCACAGATACATCAATATCTATAATAACTGTAATATACATATAAAATAGGAATAGTTCATTTTGACTTCATGGCAACATAGCTCTTAAAGTGCACCTATTATGCTGTTTTAAAAGGTTAATTCACCCAAAAATGAACAGTCTGTTATTAATTACACACCCTCCTGTCCTCTGAGACCTTAGTTCATCTTAAAAACACAAATGAAGATATTTCAGATGAAATCTGAGCGCTCTCTGACCCTATACAGAGAGGAATGGTCCAGAGATGTTCAGAAAAAGAACTATATCAAAACAATCCATGTGACTTCAGTGGTTCAACTGTAATCATACGAATCTCCAAGAACACTTTTGTGCACCAAAAACATGTCAGCTTTTTAACTTTGTTCACCATTGTTCCCATCCATCTCTTTTTATCCGCATTTTAGAAGATTGCAATATTGCAAATGCTTAATGGACAGTTCAAGATGCGCATTTCTTTTGAAAATGTACATAAAAATTAAGTGAGCACTACAGAGTAGGATAAACTTTTTATCCTAGAAGAAAAAAATGTGCATAAACTACAATGCAAATGCATTTACTAAATAAAGACAAGCATCAAAAAAGTCATGTGATTTTGTTTTAACAGGTCATGTGATGATAAAAATATGCTTGATGGGATGCATGAATGGACAAACCAGTATTTCCAGCACACTGTAAAAGATCTGAAATGTTGTTTTACTAATTTCTAAAATCCCTCAGCCAAAGTCTGTCATCATAGTGCTTCAGTATTATAATAATAAAATTATTATTGCCTTCAGAACTATCTTGAGCATCTGTCTGTGCTCCCAAGGAGCGTCTCACGTCTTCATAGTGTTTACATCTATGGCACAACTCATTTATTAAAGAAGAAAAAGCCCTCAGTGGCTTCTCCTACTGCACTAAACTACATTTATCTGTTTGATATTTGACGCCAGTTTATCAGGAAGGGACAATTTTGTTCTCTTTGACTCATTAAATGGAAACGCTGCTTTATTCGCTAATGTTTTATGCAATATTCCAGTTTTTGTGCATATATTCAATTTGCATCTTTGGATGGAAACATAATGTCTTCTCCCCGTGTTAGTTGTTGGAGCTTTGTGATGCATATAATTAATCCAAACTTTTTTGCTTGCCAACCAGGTCAACATTATTCCTATCATAGCGAAGGCGGACACGGTTTCAAAAAGCGAGCTTCAGAAATTTAAGATCAAGATCATGAGTGAATTGGTCAGCAATGGAGTCCAGATCTACCAGTTTCCAACAGATGACGAAGCAGTGGCTGAAATAAACTCTTCTATGAATGTAAGATATATATTGTGAATACAATTGAAGTCAAAATTATTCACCCTTTGTGAATTTTTTCCAAATGATGTTTAACAGATTCAGGAATTTTCCACAGTAATTCCTATAATATTTTTTCTTCTGGAAAAAGTCTTATTTGTTTTATTTTGGCTAGAATGAAAGCAGTTTTAATTTTTTTAAAACCCATTTTAAGCTCAATATTATAAGCCCCCTTAAACAATATTTGTTTTGGATTGTCTACAGAACAAACCACTGTTATACAATGACTTGCCTAATTACCCTAACTTGCCTAATTAACCTAGTTAAGCCTTTAAATGTCACTTTAAGCTGAATACTAGTATCTTATCTTGATCAAACTACATGCTCCTGCACTGTTTGTTTTTTAGGCTCATCTCCCATTTGCTGTGATTGGAAGCAGTGAAGAGGTTAAAATTGGGAACAAAATGGTGCGAGCAAGACAGTACCCATGGGGAGTGGTACAAGGTACGAACTGCTGATAAAAATAGTCATTCATTCATTTTTCATTGGCTTAGTCCGTTATTAATCAGGGGTCGCCACAATGGAATGAACCACCAACTATTTTGGCATGTGCTTTACACAGCGAATGCCTTTGAAGCTGCTACCCAGTACTGGCCAATTTAGTTAATCCAATTCCACTATAGCGCATGTGTTTAGGCTGTGGAAACACCCAGAGGAAACCCACATGTACACGGGGAGAACATGCAAACTCCACACAGAAATGCCAACTTTGACATAACATGTCATTTAATGCAAAATAAGTAAAGTGTGTGTTGATGAACTGCAGCAGATGCTAAGTCACATTGTTCTGTGTGTGTTTTGTTGTGCTCAGTGGAGAACGAGAGTCACTGTGACTTTGTGAAGCTGCGAGAGATGCTGATTCGAGTCAACATGCTGGACCTGCGAGAACAGACCCACGCCAGACACTACGAGCTTTACCGCCGCTGCAAACTCGAGGAGATGGGCTTTAAAGACACCGATGCGGACAGTGAACCCTTCAGGTACTGCAGAAAAGCATAGAATTATAGCATAAAAGGACATTATTCTGTTTATTGTCTTAAAAAAGATTAAGTATAAAGTACATCCAGGAGGTTGTTATCCCAGAATAAAGATCTTTAGCTTTATACAAGGCTGCACATAAGCCTAATTAACCTAATTAAGCCTTTAAATGTCACTTTAAGCTGAACACTAGTATCTTGAACAATATCTAGTCTAATATTATGTACTGTCATCATGGCAAAGAAATGAGTTACTAAAACTATTGTTTAGAAATGTGTTGAATAAATCTGCTCTCTGTTAATCAGAGATTGGGGGAAAAAAAATATACAGGGGGGCTAATAATTCTGACCTCAGCTGTATCTGCCCTTACATGCAGTCTGCAGGAGACGTATGTGGCCAAGAGGAGAGAGTTTATTGGTGAGCTTCAGATGAAGGAGGAGCAGATGAGGCAGATGTTCGTCAATAAAGTGAAGGAGACTGAAGCGGAGCTAAAGGAGAAGGAGAGAGAGGTACGAACACTGCACAAAAAAAAAAAATCAACTTTGCACTTTATAGTAGAAGTACAGTTGAAGTCAAAATCATTCACCCTACTGTGAGTTTGTTTCTCGTTCAAATATTTCCCAAATGATGTTTAACAGAGCAAGGAAATTTTCTCAGTATTCCCTATAATATTTTTTTCTTCTGGAGAAAGTCTATTTTGTTTTGTTTCAGAATAAAAGCAGTTTTTATAAGTCAGAATTATTAGCCTTCCCAAATTATTAGCCCCCCTGTATATTTTATATACAATTCTTTGCTCTGTTAAACATCATTTGGAAAATATTTTAAAAAGAAAAAATACAGGAGGGCAAATAATATTGCCTTTAAATGTATATACTCACCGGCCACTTTATTAGGTACACCTGTCCAACTGCGCGTTAACGCAAATTTCTAATCAGCCAATTACATGGCATCAACTCAATTCATTTAGGCATGTAGACATGGTCAAGATGATCTGCTGCAGTTCAAACCAAGCATAAGAATGGGAGGAAAGGTGATTTAAGGGACTTTAAATGTGGCATGGTTGTTGGTGCCAGACGGGCTGGTCTGAGTATTTCAGAAACTCTGCTGATCTACTGGGATTTTCACGCACAACCATCTCTAGGGTTTACAGAGAATGGTCTGAAAAAGAGAAAGTATCCAGTGAGCGGCAGTTCTGTGGGTGCAAATGCCTTGTTGATGCCAGAGGAGAATGGCCAGACTGGTTACAGCTATCAGAAAGGTAACAGTAACTCAAACAAGCTCTCGCTACAACCGAGATCTGCAGAAGTGCTTTTCTGAACACACAACACGTCCAACTTTGAGGCGGATGGGCTACAGCAGCAGAAGACCACACCGGGTGCCACTCCTGTCAGCTAAGAACAGGAAACTGAGGCTATAATTCACACAGGCTCACCAAAACTGGACAATAGAGGATTGGAGAAACGCTGCCTGGTCTGATGAGTCTCCATTTCTGCTGCCACATTCAGATGGTCTGGTCATAATTTGGCATCAACAACATGAAAGCATGGATCCATCCCGCCTTGTATCGATGGTTCAGGCTGGTGGTGGTGTAATGGTGTGGAGGATATTTTCTTGGCACACTTTGGGCCCATTAGTACCAATTGAGCATCTTGTCAACACCACAGCCTACCAGAGTATTGTTGCTGACCATGTCCATCCCTTTATGACCACAGTGTACTCATCTTCTGATGGCCACTTCCAGTAGGATAACGCACCATATCATAAAGCGTAAATCATCTCAGACTGGTTTCTTGAACATGACAATGAGTTCACTGCACTCAAATGGCCTCCACAGTCACCAGAACTCAATCCAATAGAGCACCTTTGGGATGTGGTGGAATGGGAGATTGGCATCATGGATGTGCAGCTGACAAATCTGCAGCAACTGTGTGATGCTATCATGTCAATATGAAGCAAAATCTCTGAGGAATATTTTAAGTAGCTTGTTGAATCTATGCCACGAAGGATTAAAGCAGTTCTGAAGGCAAAATGGGTACCAGGTCCAACCTGGTACTAATAAGGTGTACCTAATAAAGTGGCCGGTGAGTGTATGTATGTGTGCGAATACTTAATTCCTATAAATTGTTTGCGCGTATAGGGTTAATGAAATTACTTAAAAAGGATTAACTGCATTCAAGTGAATGAGCATCTGAGTGAATAAGTGTTGCGTTGCAGCTGCACGAGAGGTTTGAGATGCTGAAACGCACACATCAGGAGGAGAAGCGCAGCCTGGAGGAGATGCGCAGAGATTTCGAGGAGGAGATGAACACATTCAACAGGAGGAAAGTGGCTGCAGAAACCCTTCAGTCGCTGCAGGGCTCCACAGGCCTCAAAAAAGACAAAGAGAAGAAGACGTAAGCCTTTGTGTCTGTCTGTGCTCATCTCTGTTTCTCTGTGTGCATGTGTGTGTGTGCGAATGAATGTGTCCGCATTCATGAGCGTCTGATGTCTGTGTTTGCTCTTCTGGCATCTGAACTATAAAATGTGTCTAGAAACAGCTCAAAATACCCCACTTATAATGTTTTCTAACTCCCTAAATCTGACCCTTTTAGGATTTGATGCTAATTGTGGGGTTTTGGTGACTCTCACTTTAAATTCAAATGAGATTGTGCACTTTTCAAAAGAGGGCGGAGCTACAAATGCCTTAGCGACAGATGATAGAGGCCATGGTCATTAGCCTCCTTGTTAGTGCAACTGACTCACATGCGGAAAGTCACCGGTTCGATACCAGCTCAGAGCGGGTTGGGTAGTGTAGGACCGGCGTGGTTACATTGGTGCTGTGACCCGGATGGGAGTGAGGTTTAGGCGCGTGAGTGTAACGGAGGCCAGCTTGTAAGTGCTGTGCAGGTAAATCTCACTCCTCTGACCTCTAAAGGTGCTCTAGCGACAAATGCTAGAGGCCATGGTCTTTAGCCTTCTTGTTAGAGCAACCGAATCCCATGCGGAAGGTCGCCGGATCGATCCCAGCTTGGAGCGGGTTGGGTGGTGTAGGACTGGCGGGGTTACATCAGCATAGTGGTAGATTCAAAACAGGACTAATGTTCTGGGGTCCGTTCTTCGTACGTGGATTACTCAATTAGCTGGATTTGGATATTGACGATTTGACACGATCCAGGATCGTTTCGTTCTTCAAAGCTGATCCGAGAGTTGTTGTCATAGCAACAGTTCTGCTAGGTCAAACCTGATCGGGAGCAGGTTCAATTCATATAAACAGGATTAGATCGGCTCAGTTCAAGCAAAGATAATACAGAAAGTATGTACAGAATTCTGATGTTTTCTTACAGTAGTAGTTATATACACTTGGGAAAATGGTACATATTTTTTAACTATATATATATATATATAAGTTATAGTCATTAATCAAATAAATAAAGTTATACATATTAATAAAACTTATGCAATCTGCACCCTTGAAATTAAAGTATAAAGACTGCCACCTGGTGGTGCAAAGAGAAAACTTATTGATATGAACTTTTTAGATCGCTTTAGTACAAATTGTGTATAATAGAAATGCACAATATGTGACTTTTTTTTTAAAGCAATAATACATTTATGCAGTCATAAACATGTTTTGATAGTTAATATGCCGGTAATTTGATGCTTCACAAAAGTTGCAGACACCTTTACCAATATCAAAACGCTTTTGTAAACAACCAGTTATTCTTTACACAGATTAAAAAACGGCTACTATAATAAAGAAAATCTTCTCTAAATGTGGAACTAAATACATTGATTTACATTGAAATACATGATGAATACTCTTGACACATGAAAGTGTAAAGCCTGCAGCTCACAACAAATGTGGAAGGTTATTGCGTGTCATATTTAGCCGTTTACTGCTGATTTGATGTAATTTTGCTCACATGGATAATTGAATATTAATCAGATGATGTCATTACGCTGATGTGCCGTCAACCAATCGTTGCATTGCTGATCATGATTTCGAGGATCGATAGATCTGTCCTTCACAACACACGCAGCGATCTCAGATCAGTTCATCCAGACATTTAATCTGATTCGCGAACTAGTTAGAAGAACCAAATAAGCGAGAGATCAGTTATCAAGATTAAAAGATCCAGGATCTGCCAAATCATCTTAGGTCATTTAAGCGAGGTACGAAGAACGGACCCCTGATGTAAACAAGGCCCTTGGTGTTTGATGTAGCAGAGCATTAGTGTTGTGATTTTATAGACTGTTTAAAGCAGAGATGCCCAAAGTAGGGCCTGCGGGGCAAAGTTAGCCCATTGTAACCTTTGATTTGGCCAACCATCCCATCTGAGAAGACAGTGAGAAGGATAGAGAGGGTTTGGGGCGAATAGGGATTGGAAGTCTTTTCTAATTTGAAGTAACCTTTTTTTGTTTGTTGATTGCTGAGCTACAAAAAAAGCAAACTGTAATTAAATTTTTCGATTAAATGTTGTTAATGAATCAGATTTTTTCAAAATGTTAACAATGCCACTCGATGGATAGAGGACTATGCAGAAGACATCAGTGAGCAAATCAAGGCAAACACTAGTGCAAGGGTCACCAACCTTTTGGAAACTGAGAGCTACTTCTTGGGTACCGATTAGTGTGAAGGGCTACCAGTTATTAAAAAACACATTTTCTTAATTTACTTTTAATTATATGTTATTATTAATAATTAATAATATTCCTCTATGTGAAGACATTGATCATGTTAATGATTTTTCACAGTAGTTGTCAACAATGATTTAACAAGTTTGATAAATATCAATATGCAACACTTCATTTGTCTGAAATTGTTTTTAAAGTTTTTTTTTTTTAATTTATAACTTAAAGTAATTTTCAAATTTACACCAATGCAAGTGTGATTTAAAAAGAATACCTATAAAAATATTAGATGCGGCTTACACATATGTGGTGCTATGGTGAGCTATTTTTAGAACAGGCCCGCGGGCAACTCATGTGAACCTGGCGGGCTACCTGGTGCCCACGGGCACCATGTTGGTGACCCCTACACTAGTGTAACTCCAATCTGTTATAAATTAGATCGTTTTAGCATTTACTGTAATAACTTCATTATTAAACGTTAAAGGATTAGGCTGTATCAGTTCATATAAAGCAATGTTTTCTGGTTATTTTGAAATATTCTTAAATAAATTAGGAAGTTAGCCATGGCAGCTGTACAGTATTTACCTTTGGCCCACTAGCCTCAATCAAGGTTGGTGTTTGATTCCCGTCATAAGAAAAAGTTTGGGCACATCTGATGTTTAAAGTCGGTGTGAAATCTGAATTGACAATATTTATTTTAATAGCTGAGCTCATTTTGTTATACTTAAGGTGAATTTAGATTTTTTTTCTCAGTAATTTTGAGTTTATGTAACGTAGTTGAATAGTTTATTGCATTTTTGATGTTTTGGTAGCTTCTAAACATACAATTGCAAGAAATATCGGAGAAAATCCTTCCTGAAGTATATACATATCTTTATTTCTCACAATTGTAAATCATATCAATTTATTATTAGCACAATCAGAGGTTTCTTATTTTGTAAAAGGAATTTCGTTTTAGCTTTCTTGCACAACTTTTACTATAAACCAGCAATCCATTTTAACTCTGATTAAATTATTGCATTATTACATAATTATGTTCAGCTAAAATAAAATAAATAAATAAATTACCTTTGAAATTCCCAGCAAACCGAGAGCTCTGAAGACTGTGCAAACTCTCTGGAGTGATTGTTCTTGTTGGTAATTTTGACAAGATTTTCACCACACAGCGACATCTAGTGGACATTTACAGCACCTCAAAACTGAGCAGAGGAGAACTTGTAAAACAGAGAGAAGAACGAGTTGAAGGGCCCTATCATACACCCGGCGCAATGTGGCGCAAGACGAGAATAGTTGTTTGCTAGTTTTAGCTTGACGCAAGAGTCGTTTGGATGTTTTCCGCCACGCTGTTTAAATAGCAAATGCATTTGCGCGCATGTGTGCACCCATAGGGGTTCTGGTTTAAAAAGGAAGGCGTGTTGAGGTGCATTGCTGGCGCGTTGCTATTTTGAGAAACTATAATAGATTTTTCAATAGACCAAAACAAAGCCGATCTAAAGTCCAGCGCAGAGCGCGTTAGTTATGCGCCTCGCTTACACACTGAAATATAAAATATTTAGGATGTTTATAGGAAATAATATTGATATATATATATAGGATATAAATATAAAGGATTAAAATATTACAAAACACATTATTTTCCAGCCTACATAAATATAAAAACCACTGCCTTCATGCCTTCTTCATCTCGGGAGGCTTTTTCAGTTCATACATAACAATTTGCTTTTGTATAATGTTATTATTATTAGCAGTATTATTTAATATATCCATATTTATATTTGTTTTATTAAGAACAAGCTTATATTTGTCCAGCTGTCAGGTTTTAGACCATATGGGGCACAGCATGTGTGTTTGGATATAACTCAGTAGTTTGAACACACTTCGTTATTATTGTTCATTTATTCGTTTGCTGGAAATTAGAACTGAGTTTAGAAATAGTTTTGAAACAAATATTTGTACTTAACAAACGAAATTAATTATTTATAGACTAATTTATGTCTGTGCGTAAAGGTTTCCCTATCCAAGAGCGAAAGTGAAAGTATATTATGAAATGCCTTGTCTCTTATTCTCGCGCTGTAGATGCTCTGTTTAACTGTTTTCTTGCTAGTGAATTGTTTAGTTTTTCCCCCTACACTTACTTTACGTCCTGTAAATAGCGAATGCGCTTATGGCGCGATGCAGCTGGCTCTTAAAGGGAATGGGAGATGAGACTCTGATTGGTTTATTCTCAAAACACACCTATAACTCATTAAGAAAATAAACTCAACCCTTTTAGACCATGCACCACGGCGCAAAGTGGATTTTTCCGTCCTTAAATTAGCAAAAGTGAATTCTTACACGCCCTGACTTTGCGCCCTGCGCTTTGCACTTTGCGCATGGACCATTAAAATAGAGCCCAAAGTGTTAGTTTACCCTAAAATAAAATAAAAAAAATCATTTGCTCACCTTCACGCTGCTCCAAACCCTGTTAAAATTGCTTCAGTTTGGGAACACGAATACTGTTCATCTGAGAGACTCTGACAGACTGTGATGCTTAAAAACCATACAAACTGATGCTGAACTAATGAAGCCTTTTACAGTCTATGAATGAAGAATCTGAGAGTACAAAAGCTTTTTGCTTTTTCAGCACGATTCTGTAAAAAAATGTAATTAAACCTGCAGATGGATTTTGTGAGAAGCTGAAAACTAAACATAAAATTAAAATAGATATAAATTTAGGGAGTGGCGTAAAAGCAAACTGAACTAATGAAGCATGTCTTAAAGTCCCCAAAAGGTTTTTAGCCATTTCTACACATAAGTGTGTTAAAAAATTGTGTAATAAAATCTGCAGATTGATTTTGAGAGATGTAGAGTAAATGGAGCGAGGCAGTGGCGCAGTAGGTAGTGCTGTCGCCTCACAGCAAGAAGGTTGCTTGGTCTTCTGGGTTTCTGTGTGGAGTTTGCATGTTCTCCCTGCGTTCGCGTGGGTTTCCTCCGGGTGCTCCGGTTTCCCCCACAGTCCAAAGACATGCGGTACAGGTGAATTGAGTAGGCTAAATTGTACGTGGTGTTTGAGTGTGTGTGTGAATGTGTGTGTGGAGATGGGTTGCGGCTGGAAGGGCATCTGCTGCGTAAAAACTTGCTGGATAAGTTGGCAGTTCATTCCGCCGCTGTGGTGACCCCGGATTAATAAAGGGACTAAGCCGACAAGAAAATAAATGAATGAATGAATGAATGTGGAGAGTAAATGCGAACTGAACTAATTAGGCAACTGAGTGCCCTAAAACGTTACTGTTTTTTTTTTTTAGCTATATCTGTGCAAACAATCCTTATGAAATATGCAAATTTATGCAGATTCAGTTTTAGGTTAGCCGAAAATTCGACAAAATGAAAAAAAAGAGCTTGTAAACTTTAATTTTCACAATGCAAACCTATTTATTATAACCAAATGTATTTGTTTTTGGTTAAACAAAGCTAAAGTAGCTCTCCTATATACAGTTGATGTCAGAATTATTGCCGCCCCCCCCCCCCCCCCCCTTTACATTTATTTTTCTTTTTTAAATATTTCCCAAGTTATATTTAACAGAGCAAGGAAATGTTCATAGTATGTCTGATAATATTTTTTCTTCTAGAGAAAGTCTTATTTGTTTTATTTCGGCTAGAATAAAAGCAGTTATTAATTTTTTAACAACCATTTTAAGGTCAACATTATTAGCCCCTTTAAGATATATATTTTTCTGATAGTCTACAGAACAAACCATCGTTATACAATAACTTGCCTAATTCCCCTAACCTGCCTAGTTAACCTAATTAACCTAGTTAAGCCTTTAAATGTTTTAAGCTGTATAGAAGTGTCTTGAAAAATATCTAGTCAATATTTACTGTCATCATGGGAAAGATAAAATAAATCATTCATTCATTTTCTTGTCGGCTTAGTCCTTTTATTAATCCGCCACAGCGGAATGAACCGCCAACTTATCCAGCGTATGTTTTTACGCAGCGAATGCCCTAAGAAATCAGTTTTTAAAGTTATTAAAACTATTGTGTTTAGAAATGTGCTGAAAAATCTGCTCTCCGTTAAACAGAAATTGGGGTAAAAATAAACAGGTGGGCTAATAATTCAGGGGGCTAATTGCAACTGTAATAAGTAAAGACATAAAATATTAATATAAAATTAATAGTGTTGTATATAAATTATTGAAACATTTGCATATTATTACTGAAATGAATATAAAAACAGAATAAATAAATATTTACACAAGTAAATGAACAGATTGACTGTGAACATCTGCTGAGGATTTGGCGGGTGCAGAGTCTGTGTGGACATACTTATCATAAGTGAATGAAAACCTAAATAAAATGTCTTTATATCTAAGATGAATCTAACATTTATTTTTAATCTGGCTGCATTTAATCACACCTATTCTTCTTCATTTTTCAGATGAGAGACGACCATCAGCATCAGCATTTCTACCAGTATTTTAAGCAGCTCCTCTTTCTTTCAGGTGATGATTTTATGATCAATAATTAATATAATCTCCTAAAATTGTTGTTCCAAACTTGAATGATTTTTTGTTGCTGTTCTGTTTGTGAAACATAAAATATAAAAAAGAAAAAGGAAATATGAATAAAATAAAGGCTGTGTTTTTGTCCATACACTAGATGCAAACACTCACAAAATCTTAACTTTGGAACAACATGATTGTGAGTTTTTAGGCAAGCTTTCTACCATTGCTCTGTTTAACTTTGTATTAATTAGTCAACATGTTGTCTTAATACATGAATTAATGCCTGACTGTGATAACTGGACTGTCACCATAATTTATAATTGATTTTTGTACATGGATGTTTTTTTTCCTCTAAACAGTTTTACAGAAGTCTTGTACAAGATTAATTGAGGTTTGTGTAGATTTATAATGACCAGAATAATGATATTTTTAAAGGTTAAGCATCTCTGCTGTTACAGCTCACCTGAAACTCTAATATATGTGAATAAATAAATCTAAAAATGTATTAATTCAATAGTAAAATATTAAATAAAAATACATTTTCAGTTTTGTTTGGTTAAGTTCTTTATTCATTTGTAATATATATATATATATATATATAATTATTATTATTATATTATTATTTACTTTTTTAGGAGGATATACAGAAAGGGTTTGCTCAAAAATCTATATACAGTTGATGTCAGAATTATACGGCCCCTTTGTACAGAGCAGACATCAACATCATAATGCATCATAATGCAATTCACAACCGTAAATAAACTGAAAATACTTGTTAATCACAAAATGACTGGCCTTTGGTCCATCTGCATATATTCCCTGACCTCAGAAAACTACTGAACTAGAAGATTTGTATCAGCCTTAGTGGCTTTTGCCAAAGGATTAGTTTGTGTACTTAACCAAATCCCAAACGTACTTAAACCAGCAGTTACTTGCTGAAATCTCCGCCATTCGCAGATGGCGAGAAGCAGAACACAAAACCAAACGTCTATCATATACAGCAGGGGCCTGTTTTAGAAAGGAGGTTAAGTGAAAACTCAGAGTATTTTAACCCTGAAATGAGAGAAACTCTGGGTTTTCCGTTTCAAAATGGCAAGTTTGACCAACTCGAGAAAGCAGGGTGAGTCAAGCCTGTTTCTGAAAGAGAGGTAACTTTAACTCAGAGTCAGTTACCGTGGTAACTTACTCTGTGAACCTAACCTGGTCAGGAGCAGGTTTATTCTCTAAACTCTGAGTTTCTGTCGGTCTCCTCCCCCTTTTTAAAGACGAAGTGGTATTTCTCGCCTTAGCTTAACGTTTCCACCCATCTATTTTAATGCTCATTTTGAAGATGTGCATAAAAACGATTGATGGAAACGTCATGATGCACATAACTTTGGAAAATACGCATAAAAAACACGCACATAACTAAGTAGGATGAACTTTTATTCTATAGAAAAGATGTGCATAAACTGAACAAATGTGCATTAAAGAAAGGTTTGTTATAAGAGATGATGATGAAAATGTGTGTGAATAGACACCTTAACCGTTTCAGTATCAATGTTGTTATGTTATTAATTTCCTCCAGAGTGTCTGGAGTGTGTCAAGAGCGCCTGTTCTCTGCGTCTCATGGCTTCAAACGCCCCCACACGTTCATTGTGTGTCAGCATTGTCTTCTTTAAATAGGCTACATTTATTAAATATAGAAAAGATTGACGCAGCTTCCTCTACCGCACTAAATTCTGCTTTTACTGTTGATATTTGGCGCCAGTTTAATCAGGAAGTGATGATTTTGTTCTTTTTGACTCGTTGGATGAAAATGCTGCTTTATTCGCGCATCTTTTATGCAATATTCCAGTTTTGCACAAATTTATGTAATATATTTAGATGGGAACATAGCTATTGCCTACATTTCAGTCGCACAATGAACAAAGTCGTGTACGAGAATCGCTTGTCCTTTTTAAATAAATAATTAGCTTAAATTCACTGACCCTCGACATGTACTGTTACTAGATTAATGGGATTATTATTCTTTCTATTTTGTGATTCATGCTTTTTATTTTATTTTCCTCGTTTATTTATGCTTTTGAATTGCATTATAAGACTTAGATTTTTCCTTCAACAACTTTTGACCCAAAAAAGTGTTTTAAAAAGTGAGTTTTATGAACATTTTTAATAGTTTACAGTGATATATTGTGTGGGTTGGTGTTGTATATCTCGCAAACAGAAATGCCTTTTTATAGTCACAGTGTGCGCGCTTAACTCTGAGTTGGTCTACTCAAAGTCGATTGACCTACTGTAACTCAGATCAGCTGTTATGAAACCGGAAACTCGAGAGTTTTTGATCTCCCGGTAAATCAACTCAGAGTTCAAGTTTAAACTCCGAGTTGGTTGAACCCCCTTACTGAAACAGGCCCCTGAAGTCAACATTATTTGCCCTCCTGTGTGTGTGTGTGTGTGTTTTTTTTATATTTCCCAAATGATGTTGAACAGATTCAGAAATTTTTCCACAGTATTTCCTATAATATTTTTTTTTCTTCTGGAGAAAGTCCTATTTGTTTTATTTTGCCCAGAATTATTTTTTAAACACCTTTTAATGTCAATATTATCAGCCCCCTTAAGCAATATTTGTTTTGGATTGTCTACAGATTAAACCACTGTTATACAATGACTTGCATAATTACCATAACGTGCCTAATTTGAGCCTTTAAATGACACTTTAAGCTGAATATGATGATTTTTTTGTACTAAAGAAACCTATATGAAGACACGTTTAATTGTGTGAGTGGAGGGCCCTATGAATCTGCCATTATATGTCTTTGATAACAGGTGACAGGTTAAGGCAAAGGGGTCATAAAAGAGCACGAGAGAGGAATTAGGGATACAATGAGAATCATCTGTGTCAGAAAAGCATGAAATGTATACAACACATGTTGAAACTGTCATGTATGTTGGAAAAGACACATACTGTATGGGAGAGACGAGTCCAGTTTAGATGTTTGAAACATAGATACTAGTCATGATTACCAAATGTGAACTGTATGTGTAAAAACAGTGATGAATACATTAGATCAGGGGTTCTGAACTGGTTTGGCCATGGGACCCTCATTTTTACATGGCCACTAAGCCGCGACCCAAATTTTTAGGAATTATAATTAATTTGTATTTATTTGTTAACATACACAAGTCGTGACAGATAAATCATAAGAACATCATCAAGACTTACAAACAAACAATATTGTATTGCTGTCATTTAACAAAACGTATCGAATTATAGAAATATTACAAAGTAAAAACGACAAATACTGTAAACGGTGGAAGAACAGGGGAAGGAAAGGTTCAGTTATCGTGAACTAAACAGTAAATAAAGCATGTTGTCTGGTTTCTAAATGTCATTTTAATTTAGAAGGTTTCATGCTCTCTTGTTAGAGCTCCTCGCTACCTTTGACACACTGAGGCTTTGAGGCTTTTTTGTCATCAATATATGTAAATCCATACTTTACATATTTGGGGTCGTACTTGTGCTTTAATATATTTGTTGCTTTAATTAAATGAAATTTCACATGTCAAACGGTAGAGTTGTCGTGCACACATTTCAAAATAAAAGTCAAAATATATGGAATCAGATAAGTCTCAATAATAATTCACGCAAAAGACATGATGTACACATGCGTCTTTTTCAAGAAAACAGCTGCTTTAGAACTTCAAATGTTCAACAACCTTACAGTTTTATATGTCTTAACAATAAAAATGAAAAAAAAAAATTACTTAGGTTAGGACCAAACACGGGTCGAAGAGTATCATAACACAATGTGCTGACCGCTGGACCACAACGGCGCTGCAATAATGGGACAGCCGGAATGATACTTCTCATTAGTACCCTGTAGGCTACATTTTGCTCAAGGAGCTGCGAGACAATAAATAAGAAGAGCGGAGCTGCGGCAAAATAATGGATAAAAAGAGTGAGGCTATGGTCAAATAAATAAATAAATGAAAAAAAGTGCAACTGCTGCTTTCTCCGTTCGCCATGCTGGAGAGGAACAGTCTGCGCAAATGGAGCGCAGAGTGGGATTCATTGACTACAGCTCTCCTCTGATTGGCTGAAAGGTACGAGTTGCCCTGCCTCTGGCAGGAAAGTCTCAAAAATACACACACACGTATCCAGGGGGAGTCGTACGTGAAATTTGCACATTCTCGTTCAGGATGAACTCGCAAGTTTTAAACATTCAAAACTTTTTGTACACTCTTACACATTTGCAAATGGTGTTTGCATCTGTGAAACGTATTTTATGAAAATGTATTTTTATTTTGTGCATGTGAAATTTTTTTGTGAATATAAATAAATATTTTATGCACGTGAATTTGGCTACGCATGTGTATCAGCGTGAATTACTTTTGAGTCTTATCTGACTCCATAAAAATAAGTTAAAAATGTAACTTTTGTTGTTTTTTTGACCACACACTCTGGCCGCAACCCACCAGTTGAGAAACTGATCTTTACATTATGAGGGCCAACAAGAAGAAGGGGCTTTAAATTGGTGTTGTAAAGGAGCAGGAGCTGGGAGAGGCCTGTTGAACCAGTAAACAGCTGTGAAAACACAAAGGTGGGAGGAAGCAAGAATAAAGGGTATAGAAAACTTGAGGAACCTGGGGAGAGAACCGAGATGGGTCTGCACTAGGCTGTCTCTGCTCTTCCAATAAATTCCAATATTCCAATAAAGTATATTCTTCTGATATTCGGGACCTCCAGACTGAGTTTGATTCATTAGGGCCTACTCACACTAAGCCATCCGTACTGTGCCTAGGCCCTTTTCCCGGATCATTTGAGAAGTGTGAGTGCGCTGAATCGGGCTCAAGCACAGTTCACTTGGCCGGCCCTGGCCCGGTTGGAAGAGGTGGGCCTGAACGCGGTTCACGGTACGCTTGTGTGTGAGTGCAAAACACGCCAAAGCCCGAAACTGAAAGCGAGACGTGACTTTTAAGGGGCTGTTTCATATGGATTTATTAATCATTCTTACTGTTCAGTGAATGCAAACTGCCGTAGTTTATTAAAGACGAGAACTCCTCACTGCACGACAGTTGCACCTTCAGCAGACCTCCTCATTCCTGCAGTACGAGGGCTTTATGACTGTTTATGAGCGCCAAAAGTGGCGGATCTGTTCGCCGAAATATCTGACTGCGTGTCACCGCATCCCTAAGAACTGTTTGGCGAAATATTTGACTGCATGTCACTGCATAACAAACGACTGAAACGATATAACTAGAGAAATCTCCACTGTGCTGCTGAGTGAGAGAGCGCTTCTCACTGAACAGTGCAGCAGCGATGACGTAAGCGTGCCGAAGCCCGATTGTGGTGTGAGCGCGGGCCGTCGGGGGAGACGGGAGGGGGGACAAGCGTGCTTTGGCCCGGTTCGAGGCAACTGTACCTAGTGTGAGTACAGCCTTGAGAAAAGCCGAAAACCACTACAAATACAAGCGTCTCAAAGAATATCTAGTCAAACATTATGTGCCGTCATCATGGCAGAGATAAAAGAAATCAGTAATTAGAAACGAGTTATTAAAACAT